AAGGGCAACATAGTGAGACTCTGTCTCAAAAAAAAAAAAAAAAAAAAGAAGATTTCATTGTTTGACACAAGGGAAAGCAGAGAAAACATCATCATTAAGTGTTCCCATTTGATTGTGATTTCAGGCTCTGACAACAGTCGAGCCTCCATCCCAGACTCAATGGACCAAATAGCCACAGATATTCTCACTCTGGGCAATAGGCCAACCTGGGAGAGGACAGAGCACTTCACTCTGGTGAAAGAGACCACTCTGTGCTGCCCTGGGTCAGGTTCCAAGGGCCCCGTCCCCGTCTTCACAGAGCCCTGTTTCCCGAGCTCCTCCCCGGACCCCCTCAGCTCCCTAGGGCCTCACTTCAGAGTATCGCCATGACCTGGGAGCTTCACAGGTGCTGTGAGGGGATAGCACACAGCTCCTGGGACACTGCTGAGACCCTGAGTGGGGCACTGGCAACCTGTTCTTCCTCCCTGCTCTAGGCTGGGCAAAGTCCATAGAACTGGTAGAGCTGGGACCTCGTGTAAAGCAGCATAGACCCAGACCAAAGCAGAATGTCCACTCTAGCCCCAGAGGGAACCAGCACCCTGCCCAGGTGAGGACTTGGGAGGTGGAATATGGAGGAGGAGAAGGGTCCTGCTACCTGCCCCAGGATAGCACAGATGGCATCTTTCTCCAGAGCAGGGTCCCAGGTCCTCTTCCAGCTCAGCTCCTTTGCCCAGAATGACTACACTTTGTAGCTTTTTGGTCACTTGCTTCTAGGATGCAGGTGGGGCTGTTGTCAGAGCCCAGAAATTCAGATCAAAGGATCAGGGTTGATCCAAGTTCTCCACTCATGTATCCTTCTGTGTGACATGTTGGAGTGGGTGTCTGGGAAGTATGGGGCATCTTGTGGAAGGTCCTCTAATCTCATGTCACTGTGTGTGTCTGTGGTTCTGTCTGGCCAGGACAGCACTGCACATTTTCTGCCCTGAACAGCTGCCTGTGAAGCCCATTCTTTGTCACATGTGTAGCCCCTGGGGTCCTACAGAATATACTGTGATGGGAGCTTCCTACTGTCATCAAGCAAAAAAAGCCACATATCCTAGAGCCAGAAACCAGTGCAGGAGGCAGGACAGACACAGGTGAGCCTCAGCCCTCACCCCTGCTGCCCTGCCCCTGCTGTCAGTCTCTGCCCCTGACCTCTTCCTATGTGCTGAGCTCCCCTCCCTGCTGGGCCTTAGCTGGGCTTCCGGGGCTGCTCCTCTCCCCCTCCCCCTGTGCTGGGCCAGCCCTGGACCTGGCTTATAGTTGGGCTCCTTCCCCACCTTTTGGCCCCTCCCTGGGTCTCAGCCATGACCCCTGGGTAAGGGCCCAGTGCTGCCCCATGTCCTGATGTCCTGATGAAGAGTTCTCTATTAGGCTCTAGTGATGCCTTTACAGTATCCTGCCTTCTCTATCAGGCTGCCAGTGGACCAGGAAGGGGCCCGTGATGGCTAGGGCTTTGCTGCTCCAAGAGATTAATTCTCCAGTGGACAGAAGGACATGTGGCAGGGGCATCTACAGGGAGCCATAGCAGTTCCTGGGGGGCTCTCTCGAAACTTCTAGGCAGAGGCACATCTAAAAGCTGCTGTATCCAGGCTGGTGAAACTGTTATTCATGTCTGGGTTACCCTGTGCTGGTATGTGGGAACCAGAAGCCCAGACGATGGCTGCCCCTGTCCACCCTCAGGCAGGGCAGGGTCCTGGCCTCCCTCTTGGCTGGAGACGAGACCCACCAGCCCTCTTGCCTCTCTTCTCTGAGCCCTGGTCCATATGCCGCTTTGACAATGTGTCGCAGAGCATTGAGCTCTGGGTGGCTTGTTGTCCAATGTGCTTTAGGCGTGTTAATCCAAGGCCCTGGCTGTCGTCACACAGGTCTGCAGAATGGTGGTGGGCTCAGCTCTCTGCTCTGTAAAACTCAGTCTGACCTTCGTGAGTCCACAAACATCCACGTGGGGCTGATGTCACAGCCGAGAAAACAAAACTGAAGCTGTGTGGAGAACCTAAAGGGTGTGTCGTGGCAGAGAACTTCCCTATTCTGTGACACCAATGTGGGTGCCATGCCAAGTCCAGTGTTTAGAAAGGGGAGGGAAACAGCACCAGTGACTCACTGGGTTCCAGGCCCAGTCGCATCTGCTGAGAAGGGAATCTCCCAGAACATACCCTGACCTCAGCACGAGAACCCCGTGCCTTCCTTACTCTCAGACCCATCCTCCACTCTAGTGGAAACTCCAGCAGGATGTAGGACTATCTGCATTTTCATCCAACATTCCAGAGGCAGTGGTGGGGTGCAGGGGGAGGCTGTTATTCCCAGCAAAGGGCAGGATTTTCTTCCATCTTCCTAGCAGTGGACACAAGGAAGGGGCATGCTGTCACCTCAGGAGTCACAGTCACTCTGGGGAGTCCAGCATTGATGTGGGGTCCAGAGTTCACCATGAGGCTCTATTGATGCCCCCACAGAATCCCACTCTCCTCCGGCAGCATGTTCTCCAGGAGAGGCCAGGTGTGTCTGGGCCTTTGGCCACCAGGAGAATCAGGTTCTAATGGACAGGGGACATCTGTGCTGATGGGGGGCACATATGGAAAAGGGGGCACAGCAGTCCTTTCCCTGCACTTCCCTGTGGTGCTTCTGAAAGCTGCTGTATCCAGGGCCTGGAGTGAAATCGCCACCCACTCCTGTATGGGTCACCCTGTGCTGGCACGTGGGAGCCAGAAGCTCAGGTGACCTGCCACCCCCAGGTAAGGGTGAGGTCCTGGCCCCTCTCTTGGCTTGGGAGTAAACATTTTACTGCAAGGTCATCTCTCATCAAATAAGAAGAGTTACAGATGTGACATTG